GGAGGGGGGGGCTAGTGACTGAAGTAACACTCCCTCCGGAAGAGAGCTGGCCAGGTGAGTTGTCAGGTGTAGCAGGCCCTGGTTGCAATGGAAAGATAGCATATTCTTGTATGTATTTCTAATGGAAAGATAAGCTGCTGCATTTTCCTGAAGTCTGATACAATTTGTGGTGGTCCTGTCTTCTTGAGTCCGCATCATTCCTGTTCTTCCCCTCCCCCTCGTTCCTGGGTGGAGGAGTTCATGTAAGAAATGGAAGCTTTGAGGCTGGCCTTTCCTTGGGAGTGGCATGCGATTCTGACAGGCCACTGCCTTCTTTCCCACCCCATTCATCCCAGTGTGAAGTCTTTGGCATGTCTGGAATGTTTTTGGGGGGTTCAGAAATGGAGTGGGTGGGAGTCATCGCTGCCTGGAAAACACACACAGGGGGCAGCCACCCCTTCTGAGCAACCCAAACAAAGGCTGGAGCCTGGAAAGGCATTCTGGGTACCGCCCTACTTCCTGTTCTAAGAGGCATTCCTGTCATGAAGTCACCACAGAAACGGCCAGCCCAACATGTTTTGGAATGCAGCCGGCGCATTCCCTGCATTCAAAGCTTGCAGGCAAAGGGGAGAGACAGGAGTTAAGCAGCGTGAATGGTACCGACTCACTCGGCTTGCACAACTAGAGTTTAATCATAGACTTTGGAAAGACCACCCTACCTGTCCCAGTGCTGTTCTTATGGCTTGCTCCCAAACAATCCTAGGAAGTGCAGTTGGTGAGTGCTGACTGTTGGCTAAGCCTTTGTGCGTCCCCCCACCCCACAGACAACTACAGTTCCCAGGTTTTTTCTGGGGCAAACAAGACTAATTTAGTCAAGTCTGTGGTGGAGAACTCTGTGATAAGCAACATGAACCAAGATGAACCCATCAAGAGGATACTCAGAGAAGTCATGGCCACATTTCAGCATGTGGGCAAAATAAACCTGCTTGTGAAATACCCACAGTCTGAACCTGTGTGGTCTTCTAAGCACACCTGAACTTTGCTGGTTCCTTGAGCGCTGCTTTTAAGCATTCCTAGGATTATATGTGAATGAGTTTTTTTATATCCTGTGAAAAGATGGAAATACAGGATTTGAGGGATGGGCCCTAGTATGCTGGAGTCAGGCTTTTTGGTTGCCTGTGAATTGAATTTTGGGATTTGCTACTCCACCTAAAATGTAATGGAAGTTGCAATATATAGGCATTGACTTAGATCAGCATTTTTCAAACTTGGCAACTTTAAGATGTGTGAGCATCAATTTCCAGAATTCCCCAGCCAGCATGGGAGTTCTGGGAATTGATGTCCACCCATCTTAAAGTTACCAAGTTTGAAAAACACTGACTTAGCTCCTTTTGGAGAAATTCAAATCTCTACATTTCCATCCTGTTTTGCTATGTATATGTGGAAGGAAGGCCATACAACACAACCATCTTTCTTGCTGTGCTCCATCTGTTCAATGCAAAAACTTGTGTTATGAAATTCATTTCGGTCCAAGTCTTGTTCTTTCATTTTTTGGGGGACTATTGACATAGAAACACCCTCTCCATTATCAGATCTCTTTTCTTGCATCTTTTCTAAGATAGATTTTATGTTGTTTCAAGTATTCTTTTGGTGATTTTTTTTGTTCCAGCCAAATCTTTATCTGGTCACTTTGCTCATTGTACATCTGCAACTACGTCCTGTAACTATTTATTAGGGGAAACAGAATTTGTTTGATAGACAAGGAGACAATGCATGGATAGCAAATGTGCAATTTAACCCAAGAGAGTTGACTGAAAAAAAATGGAACATTTGGTACTCTTCTAGGAGAAAGCTGTTTAAAACTTGAAAGAAACAGCAGTTGGTGAAACTATATGGTTCCTGCCCTTCACCTCCTTACACTGTAGAGTTGGTTGCCTTTCACTGCTAGTATTGGTTTGAACACTGTGTATTTTGGCCAACCAATCAGTCTGGTTGGCTAAACTGTATGCCTATGGAGAAACAGGTAAATTGACCCCCAACCCAAGGTAATATGATACATTTCAGCTTAAAACTGATTTTTTCCCTTGGGGTCTTGCCTGAAATTAGTCTAAATGTCTCTAAGAGTACTTGCCTCTAAGCTCTCCTCTCCCCCCCCCCCGTCATCAATTTGTGACCCCTTGAGGAAGGAAGGTGGGACATGGGAAAAAAAGCTGAGCATTCAGGACCATCAGCTAAATTTGTCACTCTTTTATCTTCTTGCATGGAGGAATGGATGATTTAAGGATATCTCTCCATAAGTCCTGCCTCTTGATGTCGCTCAGCCTACTAGGTCAGATGGAAAGAGAACAACCAGGATCCAACCCTGCTGATCAAAATTGCCGCAATATTTGGGCTTTCCTCTTTTCCTTGCCTTCTCTAACTAACCCTCTGGTGAGCACAAAAACTTGCATGCATTTGGGGGCCATTCTGATGGCATAATAAAAATGCTGCCTGATCCCCACCCCATGGACCAACATAGCTAGTTCTCTATTTTTTCATGGAATCAAAGTTAATGGGGAATTGGGGATCTCTTTCATCAAAGCTACAAGAAAGAAGGGAAGGTGGTTTTAAAGGTGGCACTTGGATAATCTAAGGAGCCTGTTTAGAGGTGATGATTGGCCTTTATGATGGATCCTATTGTATGGCAGGATTCCCAGGCCTCTCCTGGACTGCCCCTTGTCCCTGGGGAGCTGTTAATGGGGAATGGTGTGCTTTGAAATGAATAGGAGGTGGGGACAATTGCACTCTCCTGA